ATTTATACCGTAAATAAAATGGTCAAATGTTTAATTAATTTTTTTAATAATGATAATAATAAATGTTTAAGGAATATATAAGCCTTAGAACTTCGTTAAAAAAAGCAATTAAACCCCTATGTGAAAAATATATTTAATTGAAGTTTTAAATTTGAAAATTATATCAATTGAATTCTTTCAATAACGAAAAATAATTATTATAATCGTAAACTAGTAAATAGTGGTCCATATACAAATGATAGTTAACATAATAAAAAGATTTAATTAATTATTTGAAAAGTTCAATGGGAACTTTTAATAATATAAAATCTTTCAAACTGATCCCAAGCTTTTAACTACAAGACAATGCACACTTGCAAATAGTTGAAGTTGTTGAAAAAAATTGATAATTTTGAAACTTTTAATGAGAAATTGATCTAAACGTTGTTTAGGAAAACATGGAACCAATTATTAGTTCATAAATATGCAGATGTACTCGATGTGGATAACGTAAATAGAGTAACAAAGCGGAAGAATTAAATCTTAAAAGAAAACGATGAACACAATGATAAGAAGTTAGGAGTTATCACAGAACATGTGGGAAAGCTATTCTTTTAGTTAATTACCTTTTTAAATAAGGTTATTCAAAAAGGAAAATGGAATGTATGAGTTATGGAAAGTAAAAAAACCTTTTTACAACTACTTAAAAATGTGGATGTGTCTTGTAAAGATGATTTTCTCATTATCGAAGTAAATTGAAATAAATCTCAAATCGATGGATTGTGAGAGAATTGAGATATCTCATATATACTCAAGATCATGGATTGCATTATTCTATAAGGATACTTCGATGTTAGTTGAATATATGATGTTCAAGATATCAAAGGCACAAATGAATATGTTTCACATTGAATAGAGGAGTCATAGAGAAGTTTGGAGAATAAGCTAAATGACTTTAGAATTAATTGGAGGATATTTTTGAATGATTGAAACTTATGCCCAAGATATATATTGATTAGCAACAAAATTTCATGAATAACAGTCAATCAAGATATATGCATTTTTGACATAATATTATTAGAAAAGTGATGTCAGATGGAGTTATCACTATTGATTTTATAAGATCAAATGATAACATTGCGGATCCGCTAACTGAAAGGTTAAAATCAAGATCAAGTTGAGAAAACATCTAAAGGAATAAGACCAAAGCTCATGAAAAATTAAAGGTGTTATGTGAAGGAAAACCATACCTAATTGACTGAAGATCCTAAGATCTAGGTTCAAAGGGACAACCTAATTGCATAAATTGTGTGTGGTCACTGTAGGAATTTTTTTATCCCAAATTCGTTCCTATGATGTAAACAGTGATCATATTTGTATTGGCTAAGCAAATCTTTTAATGACCATTATGTGCTTCGGTGAGTTGAGCAACATAAGTCATATATGTAAGAGTGAAGTTGTAACACCATAATCCAATTTGACCCAAAGATCCATAGATTACAATGTTACATGGGACTATCAAAATAGTGACCCAAAATTTTCTTTTAAAATTGCTTGTAAATCTTTGAAATTTAGGCATCCATAATGTAATATAAAAATAAACAAAATAATAAATTGGGTTTACAAATAATGACGAGCTCCCAAAATACTGAGTTTCAAAAGAGTTACGACTAAAAACATAACACGGGTCCATAACAGTACATATCATCTAAAGATGATTCAAGACGTACTCTGAAAGGTCTATGAGAATTTGATCTATTGCACTAGAATATCTGATGACGATAGCTCCCCACAATCCAAACTCTGAGCTTACGAGCTCAGTGCCTCACTGAAAATTGTATTGTAATATATGTATTCACTAGGTGAAATGACGAAGGGCACAAGTATGAACATGTAACTACTGTATTACTAATTTGTGGCTGGCATCATGGGTTGTTGAGGGTTTTTGTGTCTCGAAGCTCACGCACCCCTGTAGTATTGTCGATGCACCATCGGGTACACCTGGTTGAGATATGGAATTCTAAATAGGATGCGTGCACCCATCGACTTACTCCGTCGAGTCATGGGGCATCTAGCGCCTAGTTTGATGCTGAAGTGTCATGGCACTGACTTGGATCCACTGACTGTCATATTTTTGCTAAAAGAAACTAGGGTGTCCTGATTGTTTCTTAAGTATCAAACAATGCTAGTTTTATATAAACCTAGCTATTTTTGTTTCTACTGTTCGGATATTAATTATTTTTCTTGCTTGAAGTCTTATTTGAGGATATACTGAAGTGTTGGGGTACCTCGAGTCTAATTCCCTTAAAAACTGGCTTTTTTGTCCAAAACATACTAAAAGTATCAATACTAGCCCAAGAGTATCGATACTCATGTAAAAGTTTCAATACTTTATATAAGTATCGATACTTTTAAGCATTTTGGACTGCCCAGTTCTGATACTTTTTTGGAGTTTCAAAACTATGACCCAAAATATCGATACTCTTGCCTAGAAACTCATGAGTTTTCCCGAGAATAAGAACAAGTTTCGATACTATCCCTATAGCATCGAAACTCAACTTGCAGAGAGCATAAAATAGGTACGAAAACTCCTATTCTTCTATCCCAAAGACCGTAGTGAGACCCCCAAACATTATTAATGTTTTATGTAGATACAAAGGAGCATAAATAGGTCTTTAAACATGTTTATAACTCTAAAACATGAAATATACCATGGAAGTGCTTCAAGCTTATACAACCTACTACATTTCATCTAAATGACTTACACATGGTATAGTTAAGTCAAGAATGAATTACCTTGATGCTAAACTATTGAAAACATCCAGTGTTTAACCAAGGGTAAGTTTCTCCTTCCCTTTGGCTTTGGAGCTCTCTCTAATCTCTCTCATTGGGCAAACATTAAAGGAAAAATTACTAGCTGAAAGAAATGGTTAAGAAGGTAATAAGAATGCTTCATAAACCTATAAATTACTGAACACGGGCTAAAATCTTGAAACTCTTAAACCCCATAAAAACTCGTTATTGGCTCTCATGGTGAAAATGTGAAGTTGAGGGCTCAAATGAAAGCTTTAGAGATGTTGAATTTATTCCTTACCTTGGTGTTGTAGAACTAGGGTTATAAAGCCACCAAGTTACCTCCTTTAACTAGCATACTTGAAGGAAAAATAAGAAGAGAAAAGGTGGAAACTTGGAAGAAGATAAAGGAAATGAAGAAAAAAATAGGGTTGGCTATAGATTAAAAATACCCTTTTTACTCCCTATTGGGCTTACCTCAAGCCCAAATCCACTTTAATTTGGGTCAAAACTCTTACTAGTTAGAAATTAACCCAAAGCCCCTCTCGGGTTAGTCTAAAACTTCTAACCCGGGATTCGGGGTGGTACAGAAGTGAGGCTGCTTCAAGAAGACTATTGGGCATAATTCTTTCAAAATTAGGTGATGTTCATGGCTTTAAGGATATACTCATGATAACTAAAATTATTGTCTGAAGGGAAGTTGTGTAAAGTATATCATCATTTACACAAACGACATAACAATTCAAGGACATCAAGTCTATTGGTTAGCCAATAAAGTAAATATGTTGTCACAAGGGAATGTTTAAAAGAGAACATCTACCTATCCTATCCAACTACCAATCATAGAATCTAACACCACATCGAATTAAAATGTTTTGATAAAATGATCAATTTCATTCATGTAGTGGATTGTTGGAAAAATGATAATTTTGGAGCTTTATATAAGAAATTGATTCAAACATTGTTGAGGAAAACATGGAAAAATGATGGTTCGTAAATGTGCAGACATGAACGATATGGGTGACATAAAAATCTGATCGATCATGCCCTCCGTGGACTTGCAGATATTTTAACCCAAATTTAATTTTTTTTCTTCTAAAAAAGAGCATATCTTTTCAAAATTCAGTTTTGGAATTAAAAGGATAAATATTAAAAGATTCCTTTAATTCATACTGTAAATTTGTAAATTGTTTGTTTATGGTTATTGATTATCTTATTAAATGTTTCATTAAGTCAAAAATTTCCAATAATTTATTATGTAAAACCCCTATAAATACCGCGTAAATATCTTAGGTTAAACACAATTCAAATAACTCAAAAACAATTGAAAGGGAATTGTTTTCTTCTTCTCTAGTTTTTTGGTGATAGATGAAAGCGAAGGAATAGTTTGTGATATCTGTAGAAGTGCAAATGTAGTTGATCATCTAGTTGCAGTATATTGGGAGACAAACGACCAACAATCTGAAGCACCATTAGAATGGCTAAAAATTTATCTTAAGAAAACTACGTAGCTGCAGACCTCAACTCGTTTCAATTGATTATTCTGTAAAAAACGTGTATTTATTTCTATACCGTTCTTTTCAATTATTAATAAAATATTTTATTTTTATTTTTTTCGTCTAAGATTATTATACTTGTAACATCTCTTTCCGGCTCTACTGAACAAAAACTATTCATCGAGATTTATATATTTTTAATCTTTAGTCATTTCTAATATTCTAGTAATATAAACTTCTTAAGATCAATAGAAATTGTTATGTCTCATTTATTTATTAATTAAGATAACATTATATTTTTATTAAATTTATATCATTAATAAAGTTTAATATACAATTAACACTTAAATTTGATGAACTTTCTTAAGCTGATATCTATTTTTTAAGGATCATATTTACCTCTAAACCCTAAATATAAAATTAAAAATGAATAACTTCTTTTTTTCCTTTGCATTTCATTTAATCTGTTTCTTTATAATAGTTTTCTTATATATATAAATTTTCATAATAGTTGGGACTTAGGAGACCGAGATGGGAGGGTCTGGAAGCAAATCCAGGATTAGGGATTGTGGTGAATCTCATACACTGGGTCGTAGCTTGACAGTAAACATTATTAGTTCCAGTCCTTGTTTGGAATGGGTTCATTCCGATAACTGGGGGCATTAGAAGACTGCAGCACAGGAGATACGAGGGCATGGGTTTATAGAAACAATTAGTGGCGAGACAAGAAGCATCTTTCCGCTTGGGGCAATGACGCAGCTCATGAGGTTATAACAGAGGCGCGTCTATTACCGGTTGAAAACTATTTCCAAACCCCCTCTTAGACCTGGGCTTGCCCCCGGCCTTCGAGAATTTCTGGAAGGGCTCCCTTTGGGGTAAAGCCCTACAATTACTAGTTTAAATGTTTGAAATGTTAAATAAATTTGTCAGAGGTGGGCTCATGTTTTTATGTTCAGAAAATCATCAGATCAAGAAGCCCGAGTTCATGTCATCGTTTGGAGAAAGCTGCAAACAGAAGCGCAAATCAAAAAGCCCTTTCGGCTGCAGAGAAAATTATCCTGCACAATTTGAAATGTTTGGACATTATAATTGATGAAATTACTGTTATGGGCTTCAAAATAATCGATGGATTTGAGCAATAGGTGTCACCACCTGGTTTTTTGGGTAAACTATATTTAAACTATTATTTTTTTTATTTCATTTTGGTATCCAAATTATTATTTTTTTTCAAAATTATACCGTTTCATTTGGTTTAAATTCGATATCGTTGTAAAAAAAATAGTATAATGGCTGATTTTATATTTTTATTTTTTCAATGATGATGTGACATTATCATGTGGTGACACATTAATATTATTATTAAGTTTATAATGATAGATACCAAAATGAAATTTAAACTTTAATAATATATACTAAAATGAAATTTAAACTAAAAATTAGATATGATTTTGGAAAAAAGGCAAAAAAAAATGTAACTTTTGCCCTGTAGTAGACTCAATTTATAACTTTCATGTCTATCGTATTTTCGCATCAATTTAGTCCTCGAAGTTGCTCAATTGCATTATTCTATAACCCTACCCCTAACTTAAAACCTTAAATTATAATCCCTAAACTCTAAATCATGATCCTATTACCTCTAAACACTTATGGTCTATAATTTAGAGTTTTAAGTTAGGGGAAAGGCATAACATGATGCAATTAAACAACTTTGAGGGCTAAATTGATGCGAAAATATGATAGGGACGAAAATGATAAATTTGGTCTACTGCAAGGGCAAAGGTGACCCTTAGGGCTTGAAAAAAAATAAAGTTGAAGTACCAAAATAGAATAAAAGTAATATTTTAAATACTAAACATGTAGTTTACCCCTCTTTTACCAACTCCTCAAATAAGAATTTAAATACTCGAGAGTAATAATGCACTTGTCATTTGGTCAAGACTAGAGATTTTCACAAACAAAAGAGCAGTAAACAGAGATTATTGAGGCAAGTGCTCCCTCGTTAACTACCGAGTTAAGCAGCCTTTGCGGACATTGTTCGATCTTCCACACGAGTTATAAGCTTTAGTTAACACAAGCACTCCAGTTTGAAGGAAGCCTATGTGAGACCAAAGTCGGCATATTTTTCACATTCACATCCATAGGCAGCAACCTATATTCAATGTCAAGCTCTTTAAGTATCTTAATCATTTCTTCAAGTAAATGCCCTCTCCTAATCCATCTGTCCGACATGTTTTGGTAGTTCATTCTGTGCTTCGACGCCACCAATATCTTCAGTTTGTTCATCTCTTCTACGTCCGTCACAACCACCAGCGGGTTACCATGCCAGTGGTGCTCCCTGCTCTCGATATACCTGCTTGCAAACCTCAATTCATACACGCACTTTGTTTGACAATGACAGAGAAGATAATCTTAAGAAGGTTTTTTACCCTGTAATTCTTTCTTTCATCAACTATCATCTGAGCTCAAACACAACAATGTTTGAATAGTGATCAACGTATTGACCCTGGAAACAAAGGAAAAGGAAGCAAGTTACCTGCATTCCATCCACCTCGCAGCGATCGCCCACATCGAATGGATGCATTATAAATAAAAAGATTATGGCTTCAAAGACTGTCTTGCATGTATTCCCAAAGATGAACACCACCAACAGAAGTTGTGAGCTTATGAAAACGAGGAAGTGGGTGACAGGGATACCGAGTATCATGAGCCAGATTATGACAATGATAATGGCTACTACTATGTTCAACATGTTATGGAGTTCATCCACGGCAGTTTTTGTATCATTTAGGGACAACGTGAGTGCTTTCCGGTCTCTGAAGGCATTCACCTTGAAGAGGAAAAAAAGTGTTTTAGTGTGTTTCTCAACAAATCAAGGCAAAATATGAATTATACTCCAATTACCAGCCAATTGTTGAGTGATGCCTTGCTGATTCCTTCTTCTTCCGTTCCTGCTCCGAAGAGATTCAATGCCTTCAAAGATTCGTCTCGATCCATAAAACCGCATAATGTCTGTCAGGTAAATGTATCTGATAGGAGATTCATGTCAATTAAATTAATTAGCATGACAACATCATTGAACATAGATAGTTTACAGTTTGAGACAGGGGAACAAGAATTTTACTGAGAATCTGGCTTAGCAACATTCTGAAAAATCTTCTTCGATGCTTCGTTTGCTTGGCATTCACTTGTAATCTGCACTGAAGATTCATCATCTTTCTCGGAGTTGAGTATCTGCTCATCCAGGGTAGTCAAGTGTCCGCGGCTGACCATTTTAATCATCCTTCTCATATTCCAAACTGATATGTTCTTCTGATTCAGCTTTCGAAGGTGGTCGAGTTGGATATCATCATCTTTCCTCTTAGGTATTCTCCTCTGAGTTCTTGGACCATTCTCAACTACACTGGTATTTTGTTGTTTCCCACTTCCTACTTCTGCTTGCGACTCCTCGTTCTTGGTTACCTTATCCTCTTCCTCTGGTTTGGCGCTATTTATATCGAACAAGGGTGGACCAGAGAGCATCTCAATGACATATTGATTGAAAAGAGCTTCCTGGATTCTGTCAAAGAAGGTGTTTACATGGAATGATGAAGCGAGGACCTTAACGAGGAGGGTTTTGACGAGCCATATCAAATGTAGCCACCAAGAAACATATGATAATCTTTGTCACGTAGGGTAAAACCTTGCTGTTGGTCTCCTTCTGGACTTTGTCATCAAATATCCAGTTCCACACAAGCAATACAAGACCCAACCAGAGGCTATTCTGAACAGGCCTCCTCAATCCGTAAACGAAATACAAAACTCGTTTCCGCAGAAGAAAATTGCGCTCGATTAAGATCACGACTAGCCGAATTACCCAACCCGAAACGAGTCGTCCACAGATTAATGCCAAGACCATGATCTCCCACTTCCATAAGTGAAGATCCCAAAGCCTTAGTCTTTTGAGACCAGGGATGAGGACGCTGCAAACTAAGGCTGCTATAAGGAGAACCAGACTTAACCACTGAAGTATCTTCAATGCACTCAATTTCAGTGCCTTGTACTCATCTGGATTGTCTTCCATGTCTTCCTCTTCATGGCTATTTTCGTTGAACCCTTCTTCTTCGGAGTAGCTCCTTCTGTATCGGTGCTCAACTGGGTCGAGTAACCTGGACTTGGTCTTGTTCACCAGTTGCCTCCATGAGTTCTGCCGAAGATAATCTCCTGAACCACTCCTCGAAAATCGCCCTACCCCAGAATCGAAAGACCATTGTCGTGCTTCACTTTGTCCTGGCAAGTCCTTGCCCTTCTGCCGCACAGCTTCGGTCAGCACTTCGTGAAATGAAACTTTGAATTTCTTCGATGAACCTGAAGGTTGTCCAACCTTTGAGGTGTTCCAATTTTCTTTGGCATCGTTACTGTCTATGTTGACAACTACATCTCCTTGGCCCTGCTCGCGAGCATAAACCGACTCTGCCGTATCACTGTAGTTGGAGTGAATCAGGAGGGGTTGCTCTTCAGGGCCTTGGTGTTGTTTTGCATTAGAACAGTATGATTTCAAAGACTTTCTCAATGGCTCCATTTTAAGGTGTGTACTGATGACCATTCAGTGCACCTTTTAAATGGCGGGACAGTAGGAGATATTTTTTCCTGGAAAATATTCGAGCACTGTTAAGGTGAAAGACGATGGAGCCAAGCCAAATTGCATTTGTGAACACACACTTGTGTCACGAGCCATGTGATTGGAAAAGTTCCAAGAGCATCTCATGGTGATGGAGTCTTTTCCTCTTCTTTTTTTCGTTTGCATGTAGCATAAATTCCAATGTCCAGCCCGAAATTATCGTCTAGATTCTTTTCATGTGGAGCTGTAGTACTTACGGTCCCATGAAAAATGAAGCTCTCGACCATTGTCTCCTCCGAGAACTAAGAGGCTTCCACTTGGATTAGTTTTCATATATAAAGTTATTGTTTAGTTTTTAGTTTTTAATACATGCATATATAAAATTTTAAAAGTGTTAATTGTCAGTCAATTAAGACATACCAAAACCATGAAAAAACATCATTTTTCCAATCAAAATAAAATTTAAAATTGTTTGATATCAAACCTTGCACGTTCTGCTTAAAGAATGGTTGATTAAGACCTAAATGAGCGAATCGGTTATCTGGAAAGATCTTTATATCACTCTATTGCATATATTCTCTGTTGAAAAAGCTTTTTTTCAGATAGAGAAAATGCTTGAGCAACGAGCTGTCACGTACGTGTTTATGGTCTTCCTCTGGTATGTGATCATTCTTTGTTCACTCAAAATGATTTAACAACAATCACAATAGAGAATCCATAGCCGGGGCTTAAAAATAGAATATGAAACTGCGAAATCAATCTGTGTAACAAGGAATAATTCTCTTGCAAGGTAGCCATACTGCCAAATATCCATTTCCTTCATGAACTGCAGTAGATGATTATCGATCAGAGGCATCTCCTCCTTGTAAGTGCAAATTCTAGAGAGAGAATATATTCGCAGATTGCATAATAAACTGCCACGTTAGCTTTGGTGTTCATTACTTTGAAAATATTGCGTTTAAATCCACACGTGGAAAGAAAAAAACAAAATAGCATGCATATTACAAGCCACTCTCCTCTCGTTTTTCACGTAACCCTTGTCAAGGTTACATGACATTTCTTAACGAAAAGAAATAAGCAAAGGATGATTTTTCACAACTTTCTCCTCTATCTACTGGCCATGTCTTCCAAAATATTTGAAATTTCAGAGAATTCAGGTCTCAGAGATGGATCCTGTTGCCAGCATCTTTCCAGCAACTCCACAAATTTTGGCTGAGTATGTCTAGGAATAACAGGCCTTAGACCCTGAAATCCAGACAGGGAAAACTCTCTGTTGGTTCAAGTCT